CAGTTTTAACTTCCTTTAGCTTTTGAAGTTGATTCTTGACCTGTGACTGTGAGTTTTTAATTTTCTGATGATTTTTATTGATTTTCTTTTCGTAATTTGTTTATTCTTTTGAATGTATCTTGTTTTTCCTGGACCTCTATACAAAACCATCGGGGTACTGAGGGAGATATTTTAAGCTTTTGCTTCTCCCTCAAATAGAAATGGTTTTGTTTTTAATGGCTACCGGGGCCGGTACCCCCTGAAGACGTCGGCTTCGGTGGTCATATTTTTGTTTTGTTTCATTTGTTTCTTGTATTGATACTTTTTTCTGAAATTTCTGCTGCTTCGTAGCGCGTTTTTTTCAAAGAAGTTTTATCTTTTTGATCTTAATTATTTGTGTTTTCTTTCAGTACACTAAATAACTGTGCTTTTTGTGTTGCATATGAAATAAAAAACATTTATGTAAACTATATTATATTACATAATCTGTATTATTCAAAATTCAAAGAGCTTCTTGTATAAATATTACAAATTCTAGCTCAGTGAGATACAAATTATACTTCATACCTTCCACTTTGCATCATTTGGCTTGAAATAACCAAAGGAGCTAATAAACCAGTTGTAGATGTCATTAAGTGTAAGCTGCTTGTCTGGAGATTCATATATAGCCTAAAATTATTAATAACAAAAGTTTCAAGCAGCAACATTATATAATAATAAGAAACACGCAATAGCACAAGTGAAGAAAAAGTTGATTTCATGTATATGAAATCTAATCAATCAGAAAAAAAATTGAATAATTAAGGTTTTCCTAAAGGAAACTAAGGAAATAAAAATATGACCACCGAAGCCGACGTCTTCAGGGGGTACCGGCCCCGATAGCCATAAAACAAAACCATTTCTATTTGTTTTATGGCTACCGGGGCCGGTCACCCCTGAAGACGTCGGTGGTCATATTTTTATTTTTATTTCCTTCGTTTCCTTTACTGCTACTTTTTTTTAAAATTTCTGCTGCTTTTTAGTATGTTTTTTTCAAAGAAGTTTTATTTATTTAGATTCAAAAAAATTTTTGTTTTCTTGTAGTAAGGTTTTCCTTCTTATTTGTTGAAATTGAAAAAAAAGGCTATAAAATAAGATAAGAAATGGACTTGAAAGACAAAAAACTGAAAAACATGGCCAAAATTTGTCAAAAGAATAAGCACACACATTGTAGCGGGAAAGGACCTATTTGAGAGCGATGTAATAAGTAAATTACTTTGACGTATGACTTTTTCATTTTTATATATTCATTTTTTATCAAGACAGAAAAATTTTACTTCAGGAAAAATAAAAGAACATATTTAAAAGCTTTTAAACAAAGTAATCATTCAAAATAATAAATAAGGGAATCAACAACAGAAAATATTTAATAACTATAATTTAATTTACCTGTCCTATTAATGATGCATAGGTAAAGGGTGGTTTGTCTTCAGAAATCTTGTAAAACTCTCTGTTCCTTTGAAGTTCTACAAATGAAAATTCAAAGTTATAAAAGAATCTCAGAGAAAATATATAAGAAAATGCTAAAATATTAATGCTTTATAAATAATAATCAATTTTAAATGCGGACAAATATAGTTATAATTTCTAATCAGTGACACTGACTCACACACAAGAAATCAAGATTGCGATAAATTTTTTTTTTTTGTTAAACAGGACTGTATTATATTATAACAACAGGACCTAAGTATTGTATCACCATATAATTTCTTTCTGTTTCATAAATTTTAAATTCCTTAAAAGTATGGACAAGTGAAGAAGCCAATGAATGTGGATGCAGACTATGGTAAACTCGTTTAATTACTGTGGTTTCTTAAACTAGTTAACATACTCACTCATTCCTCTACCCATAGATGCCTACATAACACATCGGCTGATAAGTTCCCGGTCTAATGAAGTAAACACAACTTTTTTAGTAAAATTCAAATTTATTCATCAACATAGTCTCCTTTAAGAGATATACAATCACTCCATCGCCTCTCTAACATCCCTATACCTTTCTTAAAAAAATAACCATCTTTGGCGTTTGTTTTGGCAATCAATTCATCATTCGTGCTGAATCTCTTACACGCGAGCATTTTTTTCAAGTCTGCAAACAAGTAGAAGTCAGTAGGAGCCAAATATTTTAAATAGGGTGGGTGCGGGTGAATAGGGGGTGTCTGACACAACGTCAAACACCTTTCGGAATCATAAATTCATTGTTGTTTTTGGTCAACTGTTAGCACACGCGGTACCCATTTCAAAAACAGCTTTCTCATAAACAAATGTCCGTGCAAAATAAAGCCTACACGCTCTTTTGATATATTTAGAGTATCAGCTATGTCATGCAACTTCACTTTGCGGTTTTCTGTAACAATTTTGTGGACTTTTATTATGGGATTTCTGGATTAACCACATTAGGGCGTCCAGAGCGTGGCGCATCTTCAACATTTGTATGACCACGTTTAAAATCAGCACACCAGTCAATAATGGTCGATTGCCCTGGTGAAGAACCCAGATAACACTAATCGAGCCAAGCTTTAGTTTCAACCGTGTTTTTTCCCATTAAATAACAATGTTTAATAAGAACACGAAATTCTTTTTCATCCATTGTTTCAATAACATAAATTGGTGTTCGATTAAAATCACTGTAACTTTAAAATCAATCAGCAGATCGTTATAAAATTTTGATACCTTTTATTTGAAGGTTAGGATTTGCTAAACAAAATACTAATTCTGCATTTAGGGAGCCTTCTGTATGTCAGACCGGAAACTTATCAGCCAATGTGTTAGATAAAAAGAAAAAAAAAACAGTAGCTTTTAAAAAATTATATAATTTATGATAACTTACATAATATACAAAATAAGGTTGGGTTTAACAATAAATTTTAGAGGTTTTCATTGTCATGAAAATCATAAAACTTTATTACACTAATAATAATTATAAATGGTCCACAATATTTTCCAATTATGATTAACATTAATAGACATTAATAGTAATAGACAGGTAATTTATTATTGATAGTTAAAATATATTTTAATTTTAAAAAGGGAGTTTTAAATGAAAAATAAACTGAAAATTAAAACAAAAAGCTTTAAGTCAATTAATATAAATGAGACATGCTTAATTATGTTTTAGTAATATTTATTTATATATTCAAGAAGCAATAAAGTATTTAAAAAATTCTAATCAAATAGGGATTTTTTTTTTTCAGAAAACTTACTCATTTTCAGAAAATTCTCTAAAATGTTCAAAAACCAAAAGAATTTTTAAGCTAGTATATAAGGAAAAAATGGCAAAATCCAGTAGTAAAAAAAATAATAAATAATAATCCTCATTAGGATCTATGCAGTAATAAAAAATAAAAAAATCTCTATCCTTTTAAGTTTTTAATTTATGAACATAAAATCAATAAAATTCACAAATATTTTCACAAACTTCACAAAATCATGATAAAATAAGTAGTTTCTGATAAATATTGCAGAGAAAATTGGGAAAGATCACGAATTTTTTAAAATTTAGAGCGACAATTGACACTGCAAAGAGAAAATCTATTTTCAAAAGATAGAAAATTAAGTACTTTTTAGAAATCCTGAATAAAAAAAACACCTAAGGACTTTTGAAAAAAGTAAATAAAAAATAAGCACCTTTAAGTGCTTTTTAAAAATGCTACGCATCCTGTCTATTCATAAATGTTATGTGTATGCTTTAAAATGTAAAAAGCACATGATGAACAAATAGTAATCATAAATTTTTTGTTTTTTTCAATCAGAACTATGCAAGAAATACATATTTTCATCTGAAGAATATTTTCAAGTTTTACAGTGTTAAAAAATGAGCATATTACTTCCAAAAAGGCACTATTTGTCTTATGAAAGAGCCTTTTAAAAACAGCACTAATAGGATTCATTAGCAGAGAATCATTATATAACTTCATAAATTTGAGATTTTATTGTTTTCAGATATTTAAAAAAGTTCAATTTAAATTAAAATCTTCCAAAATTACCTTCAGTTATCCCTAGGTTAGTACCCTCACCAACATTTTTATGAATTGTAGTATCAGACAAAGATGGATCTAAAATATAATTACAAATTCAGTTGGTCTTTAATACACTTTACGATACAAAATAATAAAAATTCTAAAACATAGTTAGAAATCAAAATATTTTGAAAAATAAATAAAAAGGAAAAGAAAAAAAAACATGTACACTTTTAAAAATTAATAATAAATAAATAATATTTGTTAAAAGTTTAATCACCATGAATATATTAACACACACTATATACTCTGTTGATATAAAATAATGCAGATGAAAGTTTTGAACTTTCAGTATACCAATTTTTATAAATAGTAAAAAAAAACTTATATAGTATATCAAAGAAGGACTGCAAGTACATAAACATTTAAGAAAAAAAATACACATATTCTTATTTATTACATAATTAAGATGTGTATACAATATTTCTATAGAAAACATGTATCTAACTTTTACACAGATAATTATTAAGAACAAATGCTATAAATATAGTTGATCTAATAAAGTTAATACTTTAATCAGAAAATAATTTTTCAGAAATTATAATCTGAAGTAAATAATTAGAAATTTTTTAAACTACAAATACATAAAATTATCTAACTATTAAAATATATTAAATACTTTAACCTATTAATTACATAAATAATATAATAAATAATAACATAATAATAATAATAGCTCTAATTATAGCTAAATATTAAAATAGAATATAGCTAAAAATAACACCAAATAAATTTTTCAGATTGATCAAGTATAAAATCATAATAATTAGGAATACAGCATATTTAAAAAATACCAAAATCATAAACACTTCTTAACATTCAAAGTATTCTAACACATTTAATTATCACTTAAAAACTTGAATAATAATACATTTTTCAAACATAAAACCAGACCACAGAGGATTTTATACAAGCAAACTAAAATGATGATGTACTTTAATTTATGTCGCACAAGAGCAGTACAATAGGCTATTGGCGACGGTAGGGAAACACCCCTGAGGATGAACCAGAGACAGCACACATATGTCACATCCTGTTTTACAGGAAGGACACTTTTATGTACCATCCATCCAGCTGCAGGTCACAATTTTGACCTGAATCAGAGCATGATCAATGTCAGATCCAGTACCCTCAGAGGTATTGATTTGTTACTTGGAGGACTTCATGACACGGACAGATTTAGCCAGAACCAGTCACCATTTTGTACACAGGGAGTCTTCTGCCAGCGGGGTTCAAACTCGTGACCACTTGGACATGGGTCCAATACCTTACCGGTCAAGCTATTTTGGCCCCATATACTAAGATGATACCAGATTGCCTGTAATAAATATCTACATGTAATTCAAATACATCAAAATTTTAACAATATACATTTAAATCAGGGTTCGGTTTTCGACGTCAAAAAGTGGTTTTTGACATGACAAGGGTATAATACTGGTTTAAACCATCAAAAATGTCAAAAACTGAAGTTTGCCAAGAAAATATATAAACTTCAAAANTGTTGATAAGAAGATAGCAATAGCTAAGTCAGACTAATTTAATTGAAATGACAGTCCATTATCAGTATCATCTTATTCAAATTGCCCAAGTGTTAAATTGTCAAGTTTTTATAATTTAAATTAATTAAAAATAGTGTCTTCTTTGAAAGCGGCTAAGTATTTAACATTTTAAGTTTTCTTCTTTCAATAACCTTTTTATTCCTTTCTTTTTTTAAAAAAAAGTTTTGCAATGGACCAAAATGGAAAACAATATTTTTATTAGACATGCATTTATAAATAATAAGTAATTAATATGGTAGAGAAAATTTATCCCCATTTTTTGAATTTAATAGAAGTTTTAAAATAAAAAATTTCTTAAAGTGACAATTTTTAGGGACGATGACAGTATTGGTATAAACGTCAAGAATCACCAAAAATTTGGTAACAGATAAGCAGTGACGTGCAAGCAAATAAAAAAATCACAGAAGGGAACCAACACAAGGGATAAATAAAGTAAATTTTATAATTAGATAGTTATTTTGTAACACATTAGGGGTATTTATGTAAGTTTAGTCATGCGTTTGAAGTCAAGTCATAATAGAAATTCTTTTTACTTTCTCCAAGTAACATAGAATGATATTTAAAAAATAGCTATATTGAAAGCTTGGAAAATAAAAACTTTCGCAGCCAATATTTATTTTTAAAAAAAATTTTTATTTCAAATTTATTTAATGTCATCTTTTGAGGAATAAAAATATTCACTCCTTCCAGTTTGTTTGTTTATATTACCGCCACTGTTTCAAAGAGAAAAATTTATTCAACGCTTCAAATTATTGTAAGTATGAAAATTCTAAATAAATTCTTTCTAAATAACTGCTTATTTTAAGCTTTGATGATTTTTCCTTTTTTCGTCTATGACAGTTTGTTTGTTTATATTACCGCCACGCTATAACCTTGTTGCCAATCGATATGTCAATTCTCATTTGAAATATACTTTTATACGCAGTTCACAGTTAATATGTATAGCAAAGAGCGGATAAAATTCACAAATGATCCGATTTTTTTACAGTCGAAGCTTATGGATGGTGTTTTCGACACTAGGGAGCTCTGCAAGCTGTATGCCGCTTATACTTCCGGGTTACTGTTTCCGGTGTATTTTAAAGTCATTTGGCTCACAACGTGATCATTGTGTTTTAAGATTCCTGCAAACGTGGTAATTGAATACTTATTACTAAACTTAATCTTGCTCCTCGAACAATATGCAAACACTAACGTAAAATAGTGCACAGCTTGCAACACGAACAAACAGTAATAAACGAAACGAGCGATTAATTCTCACTTGGGCCGGATCACGCTATTGGTCGAAAATGACGTTACTGCTTTGGGGAAGGGAGATGGTGGCTGTTGGCTGGTGTTTGTATGAGTTTGGCGACAAATTTCGTATGCACACGTGCTCGCTCGGAATTTATTTATTCCTTGTAAATGTTTACGTAATATTACGTCGTCGTTAGGGTGGGGAGATAGGTAAATGTCAACTTCAGCATTTCAGACAATATTTATGTTTTAATTGATTTAAATTCATCAAAACTAAAAACAAAAAAATAATGAATGTTTTTACAAATATAAGATGGTATAGTAATATTACAAATACGTTTTTTTAGTCCCGCAGTGGACTGATCGTTAAGACACGATTCCCAGCAGATCACCGAAGTCAAGCATCACTGGCTGCGGTCAGTGTGCGGGTGGGTGACCACTTGGATCAGCCTGCGTAGGGACCGAGGGTGTGCGGTATTGGTCCTCGTTAAACTGTTCGACCGTAAAGTGCTCGACTTCGCGTGCAGGTCGTCGGGCTACCTAAGCGGGGGTGCCATCCCCTCCGCAGAGGATCAAAATTGTGATGGCATGTCTTCGGATCATCCTCAGGGATGTTTCCCAGACCGTCGCCAATAGCCCATTGTGCAGCTCTAGTGCGACGTAAATGAACAACAACAACAACGTTTTTTTTTTTTTAGTTTGCTTGTTTTTCCTTAAGAATTATTTTTTGCAGTTATGAAGTAACAAAAATCGAAATAAACATAAGCTCAAATTTACTCATACATCGTAATTTAGTTGTGTTATGAATAATTTTAAAAACTCATAATCAAGCAATACGTAAATTTAGTTTAAAGTAATGACCAAAATTCTGGCTAGCCCCCCTCCCGCATTTATAGAACAGCCCCAGTTGCCAATGACGTAAAAGCAGTATAGTTTAATTTCACTTACTTAGATTCTAATAAAAAAATTACCACAAAACTGTGCACGATGTGAATATTGTCTTTATTACTCAACATTAATACCACGTGTAAATAGAGCGCATTTGAAAACTAAATATAAAAACTGTCTCCACGTCATCAACGACGTCACTAGCTCTCCTCGTTCCAAACAAAGTTTTGAACGGAGCAAACAATATGGCGTTTCTCATGTAGTTAAAAGTGGGTCAACTAAATCTTTGAATATATTAATATGGAGTCGAATTTAACCACTGACATGGCAAGAAAAAGTGTTGCATATATTAATATTACGTTAATCTCTTTTTATGATATTAATTGGAATAGCTTATTAATTGCAAATGATTATGAAAACTTTTTGTATATATGATTGAGAGAATTTGTATTTAATATTTACCATATAAATTGTATTTATAATCTGGAAATCGGAAATTTGTGAATTTTATTATTTGGAAAAAGTTATTTCTAATTTATGTTTAATTTTNTAAACATGAAACAAGAGTTAAAAATATTGACGCTTAGATTTTTATACATCAAAATTAAAGATAACTTGACCATTTTGAAACTTTTTTTTATAGCATTTAATGCGCTTAACTCGTAAAATCTACTGATACTCCGTATAAAGAAAACTACTTAAATTAGGAATAAGTCCCTTAGAAGCGCTATATAAATTTATTTATTTCAATAATAAACTAAAAATCTTGCCGTCTTAAATTCACATAGGAAATACCATTGAAATGGTTCGTTCGAAAAATTGTTTGGAACGCGTTTGGAAGGAGGCGGGGTTTGACGTCATAAAATACGTCATCACTGTCCCTGTCTATACACAGCATGTCCCTTCCCCAAACAGTGATGTCATTTTGAACCAATAGCGTGATCCGGCCCAAGTGAGAATTAATCGCTCGTTAAACGAATGAAAAGAGGCTAAATCAAGACTGCCAAAAAAGCGAGTTATTCAAAATCTAGCAACCATGTCACCCTTTTTAACAATGAATGGTGTTTTCAATCGAAATGTAAACAATAACAATCTCGAGCTCGGCACCTACTCTAGTTCCGGTTAAAAAGTTTGCAGCTGATTACTACATGTTATTCTGATAGGTGATGTTTTCAAACGGATAATTTCGTTTTCAATAAAAGAAATAAATTAGATAATTTCTGAGCTCAAATCTGCCATATTTCATAAGATATTAATGTTAATATGTAATTCTGGTGAGTTTGAAGTGAAAATTTGTTTTAGTTTTTTAGAGATATATTGTTAAAAAAGGTGACATGGTTGCTAGATTTTGAATAACTCTCTTTTTTGGCAGCCTTGATATGGCCTCTTTCCATAAGTTTATTACTGTTTCTTCTTGTTGCAAGCTGTGCACCATCTTACGTTAGTGTTAACACTTTTAGCATTGTAAACACCAGTATTGTTAGCATTGTAAACACACGTAAAGTAATCAAATACATTGTTTGCAAGAATCTCAAAACACATCGATGCCAAATAGCTTTAAAAAACAACGGAAACAGTAACCCGGAAATTTAGGCGGTACCGAGCTTGCAGCGTTCCCTAGTGTAGAAAACACCATCCATAATGAAGAATATATTTAAAATTGGCAATCGAAATGGGCTGCAGGTGGCGTAGAGCAGAACTCTTTTCCTATGGCAACACTTCACATGCTTTCCCCATTAGCGTGTGGAAAGTCATAGAGGAAGGAAGTACGTTAGTTTCTCTCTTGATTTTCACATAGATTAAAATCTTTTAACTTGAAAAACTATATGGAACTGAAAACTACATTAAACATAGTTCTAAAGAAAAGTGTCATCGAAATTTTAAAAAACATTTTTATTAAATAAAAAGGAAAAATATTAAGAAAAAGGAAATTATCGTAGTACATTCCTATACAACTGAAAAGAGGAGGTGAGGGAAGGGAGAAGGGCTAAAGGCATGAAACCGGTCTCTCCCCAGATGGCGTATTCGAGTGTTGCGATCGCGAATAATAAAAAATAAAGAAACTAAAACTAAAAGTTCAAATGGGAATTAGATCTTCCTATTAAAACGTAGAAATTTCAAATTTATTCGTTCAAAAAATATCTAATATTTTACGCTAGTTTACTTTTAATTCTGGAAACATACCACTCAAATATTTAAATGCTATTAAAATCTATTTGTAAAGCTTTCTAACGAAACAATTATTTAAGTTAAAAACAATATTTGTAATCCCTTTTTATTTCTATTTGCTCTACACACAGTTAATAAATAATATCACACAAAATTTGTAACAAATGAATAAATAAATTTCAAACTTGCCTAACACACACAATCTGCTGCTTTCATTTGGATTCCATTTATCTCTACCAACTCAATACAGCCATATTTTCCGTTGTTTTTTAATGCGATATTCAACAGGTAAACGATATAATTTAAAGCCTAAATTTGATTTATTTGAACACCCAAATGTACACAAACCAGTCATTATAAATTTAAAAATATGATACAAAAAAATAAATAAAAGGGAAATTAAAATAACTGAACAGTGAAGTATCATTGCAGCGCAATAATACTTCACCGTTCAGTTATATCAATACTTCACCGTTTAAGCTAGTCAACAAAATGGCGACAGTTTACCCAGCCAATCGAAAGTGACTTAAATGTAGCGGGAAAA